GCCTCGACCAATACGAATAAATGCCCACAAAAGTCGTATAATTAAATAAACCGAAAATACTATCAACGTACAAACGGCGCATCATCAATCTTCTTCCTCCGGTGGGACATGAATGTTACAAATATAAATTACAATTAATTTGAAATCATCTGCCACTAAACGGCACAGGTAAAGTACTGAAGAACGCCAAGTTGTTCATTCAATCGCGAATTTGAGCTGTTTTATTGCATCAGGTTCAACCTGCAAAGACATGTGCTCAAGAGCGGTTTTATCTGATTTCGATCTGGGCCTCATCAACTGTCTAGATGTAGTCGCATTTGACTTGCCAGTGAATTCATCTTGAGTAAATATTTACATAAAACCGTATTTCGATGCGGCGATTTTTAAACGAAAAACCAGTAAATTGTTTGGGAAGTTTACAGTAAAGTTCTGCTGCATTGAGCGAATTAATGCCAAAATGGTATCTGGTAAATGGCAAGCGATGAAGACATTCGGCAAACACCAGTCCCATAAAGTCGCCAAACCCCATAACGGCCGATCTTTTCATAACTTTTTATTGGGCTTTAAACCGCTTTGGTTGACAGGAGTAGTAAAACCGTTTCATATTTTATCACTCGTTTGGCAAATTGTTAAATTCCTGAAACACTTCCGAACCAGCGGGATATTAATTTTTTTACGAGTGGATTGCAAACAGCTTAATTGATTTGTTGAGAATTTTTTTCTAAATAATGCTCATAGCGCGACCGAATCCGGATAAAGTGGAGTCCAACCCAAAGTTTCTCGACTCTAAAAGACTGAAGTGGTCTTCATGCACAAGAAAATTTATTGTCATCTCAAGACTTAATTGGTGTGGGGATTGGTGGAAAAGATGTGATTTTGATGCAAAACGTTGCACTTGGATGGCAATTGAAGAAAGCAGCAGAAGAGGCAGATTACAGTCGATTAGTACCCTCATATCATTAAATGTTTAGATCTTAATCTACACGGTTTTTCTTAGCAATTACGTGGATATCAAGATACCCTGCTCAGGCAACTAGATATCGCATAATTCGCCAATTTGCCCCGTTATTCTAATGGCAGCTTCTTATTGCCATTCATTTATATTTATGAATGACTGATAATGACTAGCAGCCTCCTTCAGTTCAACATCACCGACAGTACACTTAATAATATTAACATGAGCTACATATAATATACCTAAGTAGATTACGAGAGCTCTCGGCCATTAGCTTCATTATGCCCGTATATTATAATGCTAATATTACCCCGAGCTAAGACATAGATTCGTGTAATAAAACAGGCAAATCATACAGAACGGGGACGCGTATATTTGCAAATTATCGGCAATTTTACGAATTCCGGATGAATGTTTGCGACCGCACCCGTAAAGCTACCATTTAATTATGGTTGCATGCTACCAGATGACAGTCTTCACTTACAACCGAATAGAAGTCTGCAGGAGTCATTTTTTACGCAACATATGCATTCAATGCGGTTTTTCCTCGGGAATGATTTTCCAAATTCCATCTTGTAACGGCCTTCAAGCTTGCAATGCTCAACATTTTTTAACAGTTAGTTCATCTATTTCATCGAGATGTTGGAAAAAATTGTTGGCCTTTTTGGTCTCAATTGGAAAATGCATTTATCTTCCAATGGTCCCAAAAAGTCATCTGCTCCTGATGCCAATCAGATAATGCACAATTTCATTGTCGAATGCGATGATTACTTTTGGCAGTGCCAAAATAAGATTAGCATACCGGGAATTCTCCGCGAAGAAAATCTCATTTTCATCAGCCTGCCTTGCAACTATATATTTAAGCTAATCTTCGTGTAGCATCGATTCACGAGATGATGCCCTGCGGCTGCAAACTCGCTGTTATACTTCGCTTAAGACCTTTAGGCTACGCAGTGGCCTTTCATTTCTATGAACTGGACCTTAACACCAGAAGCAGTAAAATATAGCGTGGCGAACAACTTGTAATCATACTGTCCTTTTTGTTTGTTCTTACGGTATGTTTTCATGGTTTACTTGCTCTTGATAATCACCTGAATGTTCGTATCTAGTGCGATCAATGGTTAATGCACGTATACACAGGGCGATTGGAAATGTGTGTCTGTGAGAAAGAAAAAAATCAGTCATTTTCAGAGAAAAGCTGAAATATTAACCAAAAACCAAAGAGTCAATTTGCGTGGTCAAGGTCTTCCCCAGAATGGTAAACTCTATGCATGCAAATTTGGAAGAGAGGAGATTTAACAATCACGGGACTAAAAATAGGTCTAGGTCTGTGGAGAAAAATGAGAGGAAGT